AAATTTGATAAAAATATCATTGCATTTGATATTTTAGTTCGCTAATTGATTAATTGACTAAAAACAAAAGAGAAGTAATTGGATGAAAATAAATATGATATTACTGATGGATTGAAAATTTAAAAGGAAATGAATATTAATAATTGAATGCAAATAAAAAATTATTCATAATTGACTAATATGAAAAAAATAAATGGTTAGACCATTGCATTTTAATTAAAATGGAAGGGAAACTAAAATTGAACGCCAATATTTCAATAATAATATTTTACATCATAAATAGTAAATGCATATTTTAAACAATAGTAAAGGTAAATTACAAATGGAACAGAAATATTTCAATAATAATATTATACATCCTCAATTAAAAATGGAACACAAATTAGGTAAAAATATCACTCCATGTAATATTCTAATTGACTAAAAATACAAAAGAATAATTGACTGAAAATGAATATGATATTACTAATTTATTTAAAATATAAAAGGATCGCTAATTGACTAATATTATACCATTATATATTTTCACCGAGTCACCCATCCTGATCAATTGAAGGTGTTAGCTCTAGACGATGATGGACAAGATTGTGTTGCTACTACCAATGTCGTCTACAAAGAGGTTTCAACAATGTGTAAATAAAATCGTTGATATTATATTTTTTAAATGACAAAATTGCTATATGTATAGACAAAAAAAATATCCTCCATACAAATGAATTAAGATAACAATTCATTCATATAACTGAGTTGCTAGAAAACGAACACATTTGTATAATTTATAAAAAAAAATACTAAACAATGATAAAAAAAATCTCCAAAGTTATAACACTACATGCATACATCTACACATTAGCTATTAATTTGAGCAATTATTTGCTTAAATTCATACAATGATAATATAAAAACACATAAATGATCCAACCCGTATATTCAATTGAACTATATAATATTTGATGTTCTAATTTAAATAATTATATATCGATCCAAATATTCTTAATATATTACAACAAATCTATTCCGTGCATCGCACGGGCGCAAATACTAGTTTTGAGAATAATAATATTCTTACAAGCCTATTTTATACTTTAATTAGGCTCTACTCTCTATAATTTATATCATTGTGTGAACTCGTGTCGTTACCCAAAATATAATTTAACATTTTGATTTTTAATTATTTTTTATTTTAAAATGTAATTCATAAAAAAAAATTGAGCAGTCAAATTGACCTCTTTTTTTTATTTTATTTTTTTTTTTTGGAAAAATCGGAGGAATACCCGGTGGCTCTAGCTTCTATTCGGCCAACATCTCACCATCAGTCCTCAAGATATCGCTGATTTCTTCTGGATGCGTACTAAACTCAACCTACTCACACTGTCTTCTTAGTGCCACTTTAGCCAGCCAGTCAGCGATCTTGTTATTGTCACGTGGTGTGTAGGTAATAGACATCATCCAGTCCTTCTTAAGCCATTCTTTGCTCCATGTCACTAAAACTCCACATTGACGCAAAGGTGCAGTGCTACTCTAAGCCAATCAACCACTTATTGCAAGTCGCTGTATAAGTTTATCTTCCTCATATCATGTTCCCAGTCCCATTTGAGGCCTAAGTAGGTTGCCCAGATCTCGCCTTCAGTTGCATTTCTTGTCTTCGTCATGCAGCTAAAGCCTCCAGGCCAGTCTCCATTATGGTCACACATCACTCCGTCGTAGTCAGTGAGAAGGTCTTCTGAGGTGAAAGATGCGTCCGTGTGTAGAGTAGTCCAACCATGTTCTAGAATGGTGGTTCCACTTTCCTTCTTCTTCTTTGCAAGTAGGATGAATTATTTCAAAAAAGTCTTTGTCATCTCATTTTTCTGATCACAAATCTATTTGATCTTCCTTCCCCGTCCCAAGCATCAAAATTCATTGCAAAAAACCACCTCTTAGCCTTATAAGGTAAAAACACTTCCCATATTTCTCTTGTCTTTGTTCGATGAAATTGACTAACCATTGAGAATATTAAATTGACAAAAAAAAGAATTGAAAAACTAAAAATGTAAAATTTCTCGTTTATGTATTACTGTATTAGACTATTAGGACCGAAAATGCAAAACACTTTACTCAAATTTCTAACTGCCACGTCATACAAAACAGTCGTCAGTTACATCTAGGAAATATGACAAGTGTCCTCCACGCGCTTCTCCCATCGAGATGCTCTGTAATCTATATGCACCACCGCGTGTTCCAACTTCCCTCTCCTCTTTTTCGATTCCCCCCTCAGGTCTCAGCTTCGCAGTTCCTCTTCAGTATACCCTAGATTCTCTGCGGCCCCAACCATGAACACTGGTAAATCTACGCTTAAATCCATTCTTTACAGTTTCAAATCTTCATGCATTTGCGCCGTTTCTTAATTCTCAACAAATATTCTGTTATGCTTGGTTTTATGTATATTTTACACTTTCGCTTCAGCGCGGTGGAGAACTAGATTTCTGCATTTCATGCAGTCATTTTTCTCGGTTTAATTCTCTAGGTTTTTCCGTTAGACTTGATTTAGGTAAAATGTTTAGGTGACAATATAATTGGGCTGTTGATTCTTCACTTCAATATTGACCCTAGCCTCAAGGAATACAGTTTTTGTTTGATGCATTAGCTTCTCTGCAAATGGTCTTTGCTTGAATTTAATGAGCCGTGGACTTGATTTTTTTTTTTTTTTTTTTTTTTTTTTTTTTTTTTGCCACGAATGATATACTCCTGAACACAATGAACTTTGAATTTGATTTCTTTACTAGAACATGATGAACTTTGGGTTTGACCTTCGTTATGATCAAGCTTTGCTTGAATACTACAAATTTTTGGCTTGAATGCTTGAAGAAATGATTCCTGATCTCTCAGCACTTGCATTCAGTCATGTTCCTGATCTTCATTAGTTTGATGAGATTGACATACTACATGAGTTTGGACCAGTTGAGTTGAAGCATGTGCTTCATCTCAATTCTCAACTAAAAGCTTAAGCTAATATTTGGATTGCACGTTTGTTTTTATATAGTATATGCTCAACACGCCTTCTCACGTGTGCAAGCCAGACGGGCTCCAAGCAACACGTCGAGCATAGTCTCTTTTTATCGCTCAGAGTTTCAAACCCATGACCTCTGCATGGTGTGGGCTCTAATACCAAATTGAAACATGTGTTCTATCTCAATAAAACCCTAAGCTAATAGTTGGATCGCTCAACAAGTTGGATGATTTTGGCCCAGATGGGGGGTGGCATTTTTGTTTTGACATTCTGACATTCATGGGGAATTACAGCTCTTTTGGGATTTTTTTGCCCGTCTTAGGCTATGAACTGGAACAGACTCTGTAATTACCTTTGGGCTTAGCTTAGATTTATTTGTCTTCAATATAATCAATTGCTTTCTTTCCAGATATTGTCCTTTACTCTGTAATAAAAATTTGAAGTTTATTACTTCTTGTGAGGTACTTTTATGTTCTAGTCAGTTGGGATTTTGAAAGTTTTATGTAGTGTAATAATTGCTGTTGTAATGCCATGTTTATTTAGAGTCAATTCGGCCTGTGCTTATATATGATTCTGTAATTTTGTATCCTTCAAAAGAAAAATTAATGTTTTTATTTTTCACGTAAATTCTCTTTTCTCATTGCTTTTGGATGTGAAAAAAGTTAGGTTGACCCTTGATTGAGAATCCAAGGCTTCTCTAAGAGCTTGCTAGGGTGAGGAATGGCTCATCCTAGGATTGTGAGTGCCTTTCGTGCAATGAAAGTGCTTGGGATCTCTGAAGACAAGGTGAAGCCCGTATTGAAACGTCTTTTGAAGTTGTATAACAAAAACTGGGACCTCATTGAAGAGGAGAACTATAGACCCCTTATAGATGCAATTTTTGACAATGAGGAAGCTGAGGTGATTTTGTTTTTGTTTCTTCTTTCACCAATCTCCCTTTTTTTTTTTTTTTTTTCCAGTTCAAACAGTAATCCATGCTAATTTCCAGCTAATCAATTCGTTGTACTTATTTGTAATTCTGTCAGCTATTATTCTTAAAATGTTTATTCACTTTATTGCTTTCCTCATCTTACAGGAAGCAAAACGTCGGAAATCATCAAAGAATGCTGAAGTAATGCTTATGCTATTCTGCTTTGTGAATGCTAAAGTTGATGTATTAGTAATACTACTAATTGTTTCCATATATATGGTTAGCAGGAGGATAATTTGGAGGAAGAAGAGGTTGTGGATGAAGAGCCTATGAGGCCCTTAAAAAGATCGCGTTTGAGACAGGAAGCTGAAGCTGGTCTATCATCACCATCCAGCCTGGGTGGAACTTCACAGGTGAGGCATGATGTTGAGGGGGCTGAACTTCTTGGACTGCACAACTCCTCTAATGGCCATATGGATTCTGAACCACAGCCTGCATCATGTCAATATATTGCTCAGAACAAAGGAAAACAGCCTGTTTCTCCCAATGCTCAGCTTTCTGGTGCAGACAAAAGTCAGCCAAGTTCTTGTAGTGCAGGAACTGGTTTGGGTTTTGAGAGGGGTAAGGAAGTTCTATCTCCTCAAATCATGTCTGCTAAAAAGCCAAGCAGTGAGCCTAGCAATGCACAGTCATCCAAAAAGAAATTTCATGCATTGATCAAACCTAAAGAAGAGCCGGTCACTGGAGGCATGCACCAAGAAGTTCCTGTTTCAGGCACTCATGCAGGTATGTATCAGTTCATGTTACTGAACCATGTTTCTCATTTCTCATGGGCTCATGGCCTTAAAGGAGTTTTATTTGTCCAGTACTTCAACTTTAGTGGTTTTTGGACTCCTTTCCAGAATCTCTTATGCTTTGAAATTTGGTATACAGTATATTTACTGTGCCACTGCAAAATCTGATGTCTTACTATTTGTGAAGGTTTCTCAAAATTATCAATGATTTCTGAGAGATTTCTGAATTACTTTTCTAAGGAAACGTTGCATCACATCGAGATAAAATTGATTCTACTATTTGATGTGTCCATTAGTTGGTCAATAGTTCTGAGAGCACTCTAATTAAGATCTCAATTAAGTTTTGGTCTAGACAACCAAGGGAAAAACATGTATTCCAAATTTAATCAGATTGAATTGGGCTTTTGGATTTAACCTCTTAAACATTAAAAAGTGACCAGAAATTTATGAGATGATGGTGGTTGGGAGGGCCGGTGCCCATTGGGGTTGTCTGTTGTCATCATCTGCTCTCTATGCCAATTACTTGTGAGACGATGCTGATAATTAGTTCTTCTATTCTTAGAGCTCTTTTCTGGGAACTTTTAGATTGTAAAATTTTCTTTCTAAAGATCACATTTTTTTTTAATTTGCTGCAGTGTCAGCAAAGAAAGGTGGATCATCAAATGCAAATGGTTCGATCGGGAATGAGGATCATCCTTTAGATCCGAAGATGCAATCCGGAGCTACACTAGATTTAGCTCTATCAAGCGAAGCAAGAGCCAATGATAAGCTGGAGGTAGCTTCCTCAACCTCTGGAGAGGTGAAAGTGATTCTGAACTGTAGCGCAGTTCTAGGAAGACCCAACTTTGAGATGCCTAGCCTAGATGCAGTGGTGAAGTTGATGGAGGAGAAGTGTCTGAGTGAGTACAAAGATGTCGACCCAAAATTTTCCGTGATAAAAGTAATGCAAGATGTTTGCGAGTGCTTCTTGGAGTTGCGTGCTCAATCTTCCATCGCTTCAGAAGCAACAAGAGATGAGTAGTAGGAAGGTGCACTGCGAAAATGGCAAACTTATTATTCTTTTATAAAGACTTTGCTGTCAGGGAATGTTGGCTAAATATGTAGATGTTTCAAGTTTTCTTTCTACATTAGCCATACCATCTTTTATGGTGTATCTTTGTAACCTAAAAAGAGCATGTCTCTTGTACTTTCACAGTTGGGTGGGCAGAGCCTTGTAGTGCACTGCTTGGTTGCACTCCAACTGATGTTCTATTAAATTGAAGTTTCTAATGTGGTGTTGTACAACCTAAAGAGCTACTCAGCCTTAGGGATGGCAACGGGGGCGGGGAGGGGGAGTACTCCCCGTCCCCGCTACCCCGTCCCCGTCCCCGGCGGGTAATTGGAAATATTCTCCATCCCCGTCCCCACGGGGAATTAGGTGGGAACGGGATTCCCCGTTCCCCGTCCCCAACGGGGAATCACAAATGTTTCCCGTCCTCGTTCTTCGAAACTCTTCTCCATCCCTGTTTCTTTTGGGCGGGGATCGGGGATTTCCGTCAGGGACGGGTCATATTGTCATCCCTAGTCAGTCTCTCATCCCTAGTCAGTCTCTTGTACAATAGTTAGTTGCAAGGTGGACCTTCCTTTAAAATAACTAGTGTTTCACCATGCTGAAATTGTTTCTTATGCTTTGAGTTTCTAAACACACTGTATGCATGTCTCCAAATACAAGCAATGGGCCCAAAGTTTCAAAATCACAAGCAATGGGCCCAAAGTTTCAAAATCACATGGCTTATAATATAAGAGATAACATTCCTTGCCACTAAGTCACTTGTAATAGAGGGGATAACTAAGTCACTTACATTAGAGGGGATAATATTTTGAATACATGCTATAAATATTGACTGTTGATGAGGTTAATTGTTAATCGAGTTTGACGGAATCGGCGAATGAATTTCAAATTGGATTCTAAACAAAGAAAGATTTCAAAATCATATGAAGTATCAAAATCATATGAAGTAACAAATTGGTATGCTTCGTGCGTGCGTCGTGCGTGCACTATACGTCAAGGTTATCAAGGCGGACTTTCTAGGCGAGATGTAAATAAAAATATATATATATTGAAAATATCTTGTCTTTGGCAGCTTTTTTGCTGGCCTATTTACTTGAAGTAGATGAATAGTTTTTCTTAGGATAGTGAGAAGTCAAGTATTTATTGTATATTGAAAATATCTTGTCTTGGGAAGCCTTTTATAACCCTATTTACTTCAAGTTGTCTTGAGAAGATGAATAATTTTTTCTAGGGTGGTGAGAAGTCTAGTATTTATTGATAACATGCCAGAGTGAGATAGTGGGCTTTGCTCGGAACAGGAGGACGACGCCGGAGCTTTATCGTGCCGCCATCAGAGCCACCACGCACCTCCACGTGCCGCCGTTGAGCCGTTGCTCCGATGCCACGCGCCGGCGCGTGAGGCAGATTTCAGCGACTTCTCCGACTGAAAATTACACCGGTCAACTCGCCTTGGTGTGTAGGTTCAGCATCCCGTGTATGTTTTGTGGAGTTTTGGGTTGTATTCTGCACTTAGGCGAAGCGAGCACATTAAGCGAGCACATTAAGTGTTCGGTCTCGACCGACCGGACGCCTAGGCGACGCCTTGATAATACTGCTATACGTGCATGATTAAGAATTCCACTGAAAATAAAAGAAATCATATAGTGTACCCTACAAAATTTTACCTTTTCTTTAACTACTTCAATTCATTCATTAATTAATTGTAGGTTTGATGGTACAATTAGATGAAAATTTTGTTGCTGGAAGGCCAAAAACAGAAGATTGGGGTGGGGAGCTCAAACTAATCTATACTATTAATGATGGTCATGTTATTAGTCCTAACTAATTGTAAAAGGTTATACCAAGTATACAAAATCATTAATTTGATATCTTCCTTAGAAAATGAGTCTTCAAAGTTGTTGCAATATATAATAAAAAAAATTATTATAATAAAAAATTTTATTCGTGCGTCACATGCACACGGGTAATTAGGTAATTATTTGTTCGAATTTAAGCAAGAATAACATAAAAAAAAAAAAAAAACATAATCGATACAATCCATTTCATCAACTGCATTATATAATATTCGTTATTATAATTATATTTATATATCAATCTAAATATTTTTAAAATATTATAACAAATCCATTCCGTGCAACACGTGTGAAAATACTAGTGACTATAAAAGCCTAATGACCATATGAATACTAGGGAGTCAAGATATTTGATCATTCATTAGTTTTGCTAGATATTGATATTTTAAAATTTACACTATTTAGTGCATATAGAACAGAAAGGAGTCAATGACATTTGTATCAATTAATAATCTAAGCTAAGCTAGTTACAACAAATTATCATCTTAAAATAACCAGACTAATTACAAAATATGATAATGCCATTACTGTCATATGTATAAAAATCCACTTTTATACAAAAATTAAAGTTTAATTTCATACAAGCACATAATGTCACATCTAAAATTTTTAAAAAATATAATTTTAAATGACTTACTTATGAATGGCTCTGAATAACCACTTATCATCATGGCCAAGACTCTAAAACTCCCTATGTTAACCCTTCTAAAATTTGAATATAAAAAAGTTAATAATAAGTTTTTATTAGTTAAAATTAATCAAAAACCATAATATTAACTGGATTACAATTCTCTAATATTGTTATCAATATTCTTGCATGCTTTTAGATCATTTATTTTGTGTTTGTAATGAGAATTATAATACACATGCATTGTTTAGCTGCACCAGATAGATTAACCATCAAACCATCACTATTAAATACCCTCCTATTCCTCTTTAATTTGTATATAATATAGATATTTGAACTGTACAATATGGGAAGAAAGGGTAAAACAACTCACAAATTGGGTGTGGCATTGGCTGACGGTTAGGTTAAGATTGTGTGGATCATGGTCCATACAAGTTGTATGGATTATATTTGTATATTGTAAAATAATGTATATTTAGTACAAAAATAATGTACATTGTATTCAGGAGATATACATTATTTTTGTACTGAGTGTACATTATATTTTATTATGATCTATATAACACAGTGGACCATGGTACACACAATAATTTGTTTAGACTGGGCTCTAGACCGGCGAAGTATACAAAATATGGTACACACAATAATGATTGGGGGTGACGGGTGAGCATTTGTAATTCATTAAGAGACGACTTTTTTCTAATGCACTAGGCAATTGAACCATATTTCTTATACCCACATATTAAAACAAAATGCTATCAACAACAAAGCTTTAAAACCAATTGAACCTGTATTTAAGAAAAGAAAGGCAAACAAGTAAAGTTAATGGCAAGCAGAAGAAGACTCTTCTTACTCACTTACCAGAGAAATCTACAACCCAGAGTTCGGAGTGGAGGAGCAAGAAGGGATACTTGGGTCACAGTTAAAGGTAAAAAAAAAAAAAAAAATTGGTTAATAGGGGTGAGTAAACGGTTGATCGGTTACATAACCGATCAAAAAATTGAAAATTTATGATATCAGAGCAATAATTTATGGTATCAGAGCAATAATTCATGGTATCAGAGCAATAATTCAAGATATCAGAGCAATAGTTTTATTGAAATTGACGTATGAAAGGAAAATGCATGCAGTTGCTTTTTTCGTATAATTTATTTTTACAGCAAACTGAGCTAAGATACAAATATTATTTCATGTGCATCCAATTAAGATTCTTTTCCTAAGACCATCTCCAAGGGGGCACCAAATATGCAAATCCTAGCGTCATCTCGCCATTTTGACAAAAATTTGATCTCCAACGTGAGTCTCCATCGCACCATAACGCCATTCCTTTTGGCGTTAATGAACAGTGCCGCGCCAAATATGGCGCGACACTGTTCATTCACGGCAAATCGAGAAGGGAAAAAATTAACCCTTTTACCCTTGTTTCTTTTTCTAATTACAAATGTACCCTTTATTTGTTTTATATGTATGTATTATTTTATTTTGTTAAATACTTATATTTAAAGTTTGTATAATTAAATAAAAATTATACCATTTTAAAGATCTCATTGAGACGATCGAAACAAGACTAATATTGAATATATATTAATTAAAATTTCTAATACATCAAACATAACTAGAACATAATAAAAGTTAAAATACATACGACATACATCAAACATTACTAGAACATAATAAAATTAAAATTAAAATACATACGCACACATAAAATCACAATATACCTCTGGAGAAAGGTCATATAGATATTTTGGTATATTGAGTAGTCCACCTACAAATAATCACACAA